CATACATACACAGCCAGAGCAGGAGGCTATGGGATGGGGTATCTTCTCGTGGATTCTTTAGGAGTCTTAAGGAAGTTGTTGAATTACTGATCTCATGAGCAAAGGAGCTGTAATGAGATTTGGCCCTTTTTAAGTGATGTAAGAAATTCTCAATAACTATCAAGCAATTTTCAAAAGTACAGAATAGTCATGAGTGTTTTTAGTGTGCAGTGTCATCATGATAATAATGTTGGCAGAGATATTAGTGCCATCAAATCCTTAATAAAATGAACCTCCCACATACATGATTATTTTCAGGTTAGGGTTGATGACCAATTTTTTTAAACAAAGTAAAATTTATACGTAGTGAAATGTGCAATTCTTACATGTAAATTTTCTGAGTTTTGCTGTACTCCTCCTAATGTTTATGTAGGACATTTCCATCAACTCAGATAGTTCTCTGTTCCTTCTGTTCACTAACAGACCCCATCCCACTGTTTGGATTTGTCACTATAGAATGGCTTTACCTGTTCTTGACCTTTGTATAAAGGGAATCATACACCATGTGCGTTTTGGTCTGGGGCTTCCCCCACAACACAGCACAAAGTTTTTATCCATCCATATTATGTGTATCCGTGTTACCTTCCTTTTTTTTTTTTTTTTTTACTGCTGAGTAGACTTTTACTGTGGAATTCTGGACACAAAAAAGATTGTTTTCTGCAAACATTCCTAGGCAAATCTTCTTATGTAAATATATTTTCATTTGGATAAATGCCTAGGAGTAGAATTGCTGGGCCATAGATTGGATGTACATTTAACTTTATAAAACAGTTTTTTAGAATGTTTTATTTAAGAATATTATTAACTCTTTTTCAAGAGGTGCAGAAAAGTTCCAGTTGCTTCACATCCTTGCCAGCATTTGGTGTTGTCATTTTAATTTTAATTTTCTAATCCCTGTGAAATATTTTAAGTTCTATTCCCCTGATGACTAAGATGTTAGACACCTTTCCTGTGTTGTTGGCCATTACATTTCCTTTTTTTTTTTTGGTACTGGGGATTGGACCCAGGAGCGCTTAACCTCTGAGCCACGTCCCCAGCCCTTTTTATTTTTTATTTTGAGAAAGGGTCTCATTAAGTTGCTTAGAGCTCACTAAATTGCTGAGACTGGCTTTGAACTTGGATCTTCCTGCCTCAACCTCCTGAGCTGCTGGGATTATAGGCTTGTGCCACTGAGCCCACCTACATTTTCTTTTGTGAAGTGTTTGTTTCACTATTTTGTCTGTTTCTTTTTGTTATTGATTTGTAAGAGTTCTTTATATAGTCCAAGCACAGTCCTTTGTCAGATAGATGTTTTCCAAATATTTTCTCCCAGTCTGTGGCCTGCCTTTTATTTTTCTTTCTCCCCTTCCTCCTCCTTTCTTTCCTTTCTTTTTTTCCCTCCCCCATATCCCTTTCTTTTCTTCCTTCCTTTCTTCCAACTCAGGGCTCTTTACCACTGAACTACATCTCCAGCCCTTTTTATTTTTTTTGAGACAAGGTCTCCCTAAGTTGCTGAGGCTGGTCTTGAACTGCTGCTCTTCTTCTGCTTCAGCCTCCCTAGTCACTGAGATTACCTTGTGCATGTGAGGCAAGCACTTTACCAACTGAGCTATATCCCCAGCCCTTCATTTTTTAATGGCATCTTTAGATGAATTAGATGCTTCTAATTTTGGTGAGGTCCAATTTACCCATTTTTAATTTTATGATTAGTATTTTTTAAATGTGTCTTCTAATAAATCCTTCCCTACCATAAGGTTGCAAGACATTCTTCTACATTTTATGATTTTAGCTTTTTTGTTTACTATGATCTTCCTTAATTTAATTTTTCACTTGCTGTGAGGTAGAGGATGATACTGCTTTTCTCCCAAGTTTTTTTTAAATATTCCTACACTTTATTTTTAAAATTTTGATTTTATTTAAAAACTTTACTGATTTGCCTTGATTCCATTGTCAAAAACCAATTTTCCATATATGTGTAGCTCTATTAATACACTCTTGATTTGATTTAATTGATTTTTTTTTTTTTTTTTTTAGATGGGATGCTCACACTAGCCTTAAAGTCCTGGACTCAAGTGACCTTCCTGCCTCAGCCTTCCAAGTGGCTGGGACTGTATATAGGCACAACTGGCCATTGATCTATTTTTTTGGTCCTTAAGCCAGTATCTTGTTATCTTGATTATGTAACTCTATAGAAAGTCTTGAAATCTGATAGATTTCAAGATTGATTTATCACTTCTAGATTCTTTGCTCTATTAGGTAAATTATGGTGTCAACTTCTTAATTTCTACAGAAACAAAGAATGTTGGGATTTTGATTAGGATTGTGAAACTGTTGGTCTCTTGACAAAAACTGACATTTTAACAATATTCAATCTTCCAGTCTGTATACATGATATATTTTTCCATTTATTTAGCTCTTCTTTAATATATGTTAGCAGTGTTTTATAACTTCAGGGTCAGATCTTACACATCTTTTATTTATTTTATTTCTAAGTATTTTATATTTTTTGATGTTATTGTAAAGGTATTGTTTTAAATTTTGTATCCCAATAGTTTGTGGCTAACATAGAAGTGTAATTGATTTATTTTTATATTGACCTTGTATACTCTGATGTTACTAAAATTCACTTGTTTGTTCTAGTACATTGTTTTGTACCTTCCTAAGAATTTTCCACATGTCAGTTGTGACCTATGAAATATATAAACCATATTTAAAGATAGACCAAAAAGCAAAAGTCCTAGAAACTACAAGGAAAAAGAAAAACAGCTCTTCATTTTTTTTTCCAATGTTCTTTGAGGACTTCTGTCCCAAGAATAAAGTTGCTATTACCAGGCGCAGTGACACATGCCTGGAATCACAGCAACTTCAACATGGGAGCTGAGGCAGGAGGATCACAAATTGAAAGCCAGTCTCAACAACTTAGCAAAGCCCTAAGTAACTCAGTAAGACTCTGTCTATAAATAAAATATTTTAAAAAGGGCTGTGGATGTGGCTCAGTGCTTAAGCACCCCTGGATTCAACCAGTACAAAATAAATAAATAAATAGATAAATAAGATTAAAAAAAAAAAAAAACCTGTTTCAGAGTACAAGCTACATTTATTTATTTATTTTGGGGGTTGGCACTGGGAATTGAACCCAGGAATGCTATACCATTGAGCTTTATTTCCAGACCTTTTTTGTTTATTTGTTTTATTTGACACAGGGTCTGGATACATTGCTCAGGCTGTCCTTGAATTTTTGATCCTCCTGCCTTGCCTCCTGAGTAGCTGGAATTATAGGCATGCATCACCTTGTCCAGCTGATTTAAGCTTCTTAACTGGAATGATTGTGAATTCTTTTTATCCTTATGGGTACCTATAAGTAATAGCCTTGATAGCAGTGGTACTCAGTTGGTAGAATTTAGCAATCCACTTTATTTCTTTGGACCTCAGTTTCTACATGTGCAGAGTGACAGGATTTGACTGGATTATTCCTGCGGGCTCTTCTTGTGAGACCTTCATTCTGTCTCTTAATATATCAGAAGCAAGCAAGCAGGTACAGAAAGGGTATTTTAGAGCATTATTATTTTAGAATTTATTGTACCCCCTATATTTTCATTATAGATACGAATTATGGGTCCATTATTAATTCTATTTATCCTAGAAATATTATCATATCTGTGGCTTTGTGTTGAGTTTATAATTAACTCACTTAAACTTTTCTGCAACTTGTATTTCTAGGCTTCATAGAGCCCAGTGTGCAATTAAGCAGACTCAGGTAACTGTTCAGAAAATTGGAAAGGAAATTGAAGAAAAACTAAGACTCACATCTACAAGCAATGAGCTGGTAGGTTTTTATATATTTACTTATTTAAATTTATTGTTTTCTTAAGTGTATTATCATATTCTTCTTGAATTAATTCTTTTTTTCAAAACTATCGGTAGTTTTTTTTTTCTTAATATTGTTTCACTAAAAATGTTTGTCAGCATTTAAATGTTGGAAATAAATTTTCCTAACTGCTAATACTGTACAGAGTACCTGCTTTATTCTGTTAGATGAAATTTTAGATGACATACAATTTTAGAAAAGAACAGGCTATTTTATGAATGTTTCATAAATCTGACCTGTAAACATGAACTGTATACTGAATAAAAAATAGCTGCCAGAGAAAAAAATAAACTTTAGGGACTAATCTGCTTTTAACAGATGAATTTGAAATTTATTTGGATTAAGCATAATAGGCTAGTTTGTGTACAGTATTTTCTTTTGAGAAATACTGTTTAGTGAAGCATCTCTGTTTTGTTTTGTACTGGGATTGAACCCAGGGGCGCTTTTTTGTTATTTTATTTAGAGACAGGAGCTCCCTGAGTTGCTAAGTGCCTTGCTTAAGTTGCTGAAGCTGGCTTTGAACTCGGATCCTCAGCCTCAGCCTCCCAAGATGCTGGGATTATAGGCATGCACCACCATGACCAGTTTAGTGAAACATTTCTAAAGAAATGGAAATCCTAATATAAATTAACAGATTGAAGAAATTAGTATAATTTTGGATTGTTTTATATTCTTCCTTGTGGAGAAAAAAATCATCAATTTTTAAATTTATTTTAATAATTTTTATTGTGTGTTGTAATTAAACATAATAGTGTGATTTGTTATGTGTTTGCACCTGCGTGCAATATGATTTGGTCAAAAACTCATTTTTGGAATGAAGAATCTTTATAAGCAGAATAGTAGGCATGATTAATAAATTGAACTTTTTATAAAATGAAGCCACATGATCATGATACTTAAAGTTCAAATCTTCAAGTTAAATCTTAGATAAAATTAAGTATTTGCTTGCTTGAACTATCACAGATAGATAACATCTTCCATTTATTTGTACCACTTAGCTGAGAACCTTTACATCCCTAAATAAAAGCAAAAAAGTTTCCCAAGATGATAATATAAGAATTATAGAAAAATAACGATGCATATAATATATACAAACTTCTGTCTTATGGAATTTGAAATTAATGTATTAGTTCAAACTGTATAAAATTACTGTTTTTGACCTATAAATAGCAATTTCTTGTTGTTCAACCTAATATGTAAAATAGTTCTGTACTTGGCACATATCAGCCACAAAAATATGTTTGCTAAAATAATTATAGTAGTAATTCTTTTATGCATGTGACTTTTCTTGTTTATGAAAAATCTTCCATTGAAGAGACATTGTTAAACCACCTTTTGTTGTAACTTAGTGCCAATAAAGGTCCAAATTCCAGACCATAAATATATTGGAGGGGGAGGAAAAAATAACTGTTTTAATCCTTTATGTTGAGTACAAAAATGCTGCATTTTTAGAACCTTTGTCTGGGGAGAAATCGCTAGGTTTTATTTTTCTTATTTTCCTCTCCCAAGGCAAGATTGGGAAATTACTTGTTTCATTAAGTGACAACATATGCTTTGTCTCAGTATGGAAAAATGTATGTTTAATCCTGTTTTTCTAAAATATAAGTGTTGACACACAAGAGTAAGGGGATAGAATGCATGAGTTTAAAGAGGTCAGGTTCAGAGGTTCACTGTGTGTTTTCGTGCTGCCTAGTCAATGTAGAAGAAAATCATTGGATGTTTGAACTGAAAGTGAACCCAGAAATCTTCTAGTTCTCTAATAACCCCATTGAAAATCTTGCTCCAGTACATATGTCTCCTTTCCTGCTTAAATTTTTTTCCATAGTATTTATTGACACTTGTGTTAATCAGCTCTCTGTCACAGTGACAGAATACTGGAGGTAAAGGAAGAAAGATTTATATTGACCCAACAGTTTCACAGGTTTCTGTCCATGGTCAGCCCCATTCACTCTGGTTCCATGGCAAGGCAGAACATCATGGCGGAGAGTGCAGAGCTGTCACTTCATGGCAGCCAGGAAGCAAAGAGAGAGTGTGGAAGGGGCTGGGATCTCAATATCCCCTTTAAAGGTATACCCCCAATGACCTAATTTCCTTCCACTGAGACCCACCTCCTAAAAGTTCCACCACCTCCCAGTGGTATCACATGTAGGTAACCAAGCCTTCAACTCATTTAGGGGACATTTAAAATCTAAGCCATAATACCTTTTAATATGATATATATTTTATTTATTTTTTTTCTGTCTCTCTAAATTCTGTGAAAGGAAGGATTTCTCTCTCTTTCTCACACATTGCTGTATTTCCATTATTTAGAAAGTGACACCTAGGGTAATAATGTCTGATTCATTTTAAGGTCCTTCCTAGACAGTGGTACTGTACTCCCTCCCCTCCTTTCATTCCCTTCTACATAGTCCAAATACCTCTATTCTTCCCTGGCAACTGCCCCACCCCCAAATTATGAATTAGTATCCTCATAAAATCAGAGAAAACATTCAGCCTTTGGTTTTTTGGGATTGACTTATTTTGCTTAACATGATATTCTTCAGTTCCATTCATTTACGTATGATGATCAAAATGCATTCTACTGTCCATTTATTTATTTGTTTGTCCTGTGTAACTAATTAGAACAAACAAACAAATAAATAAATAAATACTTTTTTTTTTAAATGTGACACATAGTGGGTAATCAGGAAATTACTCATTGAATTTAAGAAAGAATCTAGCACAATGCCATTATCATCTTCTTGTTCTCTTCCACCTACCTCTTCCTTGTCTCAAGTAAATTATTATTCATCTGAAATAAATTGGATTACTTTATAATAGCAGTTTTAATTAGTGCATTACATATAATAGTGGTGTTCTTTTTAACATATTCATACATGCATGAAATGTATTTTGCTCCATTTCAACCTTCAGTACTTCTCCCTTCCTTTGTTCCTCTTTCTCTATACTACTGAAGACCATTTCTTAATTCCTTTTAAGTAATTAAATCTGTTATGAGAAATTGTTTGTACCTGATGATTTTCAAAGATTTGATTATCTTGTCATATTAATCAACGCCCAACATTTTTTCACACTTAACTATATTAATTATAAAATTTCTACCATTGTCTTACATTTCTACTTACATGTTTTAGATTTCATCAGATAACCCTTCTGGACAAAATTGTGTGCTTCTTCTATTTTCTTCTGATATTATGGTGAAGTACATTGGTTGATTTTTGAATGTTAACCCAAATTTGCCTTCCTGGGGAAAGGCCTTTTGCATTTGATAAATTGTTCTATTCATGAACAATACTGGATTTCATTTTTTTAAAAACACTTTGAAGAACTTTGTATATATATTGATGAAGATTGATCTGCTTTGCTTTCTTGTAATCTTCTTGTCTAGTGTTGTTGTCAGAGTAGTGTTGGCCTAACTCACTGGAAAATTTTTCCTCCTATTTTCTGTAAGAAGGTATAGAATTGGAATTATTTCTTCAGTGTTTGACAGGAGTTTGCCATTGCAACTAGCTAAGTCTGGAGGTTTATTTGTGTCAAGGTATTGAACTAGAAATTCACCTTCTTTGAGAATTATGGGTTTATAAACGATCTACTTCTTAAGTGCCTTGGTAAGTTTGTGTCTTTCAGGGATTTGTTTGTTCCATTTAGGAGGTCAGTCTTTTTAATTTTAGTCATTCTAATGGTTATGTAATGTTTCCTCATTTTCCTGCTAAATTACATTTCTATAATGACCATTTTTCATAGTATTTGGTTATTCATGTCTTCTAAGAAGTATCAGTTTAGGTATTTTTGCCCATTAAAAAAATAAACTCTTGGGCTGGGGCTGTAGCTCAGTGGTAGAGTGCTTATCTAGCATGTGTGAGGCACTGGTTTTGATCCTCAGAACCACATATAAATAAATAAATTAAACAACGGTCCACCAACAACTAAAAGATAGTTCAAAAAAATTTAGATTTACCAGAAACTTTTTATAAAGATAATTTTGACAGTTCCCATATTTCTTTTATATAGTCTTTCCCTCATGTTCTTTTTCATTGTTTTTTGCAGTACTTCAGATCAAACCCAGGGCTCTAGGTATGCTAGGCAAGTTACAAGCTACATTCCTAGCCCACCTAATATCAACAGCTTATTTAACTATGGTATGTAGTCAAAACTAAGGTATTAACATCAATGTATGATTGTTAACTATGGATTCTTATTTGTGGTTTGCTGTATTTCTACTAACATCTTTTTTCTGGGGGGTGTGGGTTGGTACCAGGGATTGAACTCAGGGGCACTTGACCACTGAGCCACATCCCCAGCCCTATTTTGTATTTTATTTAGAGACAGGGTCTCACTGAATTGCTTAGCACCTTGACCACGTTTTGAACTCGTGGTCCTCCTGTCTCAGTCTCCTGAGCAGCTGCTTTTTTTTTTTTTTAATAATTAAAAACTTTTCTGGTATGTAGAATTATTACAAAAGATAGTATAGATAGATACTTACTGTATATACTCCATATCCAGTTTCTTCTGTTGTTAACATCTTACCTTGATATATTAAATTTGTTATAATTAATGAAACTAGATTGATAACTTATCATTAACCAAAGTCCAGACCTCATTTGGAGTTCCTTAGTTTTTACCTAATGTCTATTCCAGAATCCCAATCAAGAAAGCATACTACACTTAGTAGTCATTCTTCCTTAGGCTCTCTTTATTTGTGATGATCTTGATTGTTTTGAGGGTTACCAATCAGGTGTTTTGTAAAATAGACCTTGATTAGATATATCTGGTGTTTTTCTCATGATTAGACTGATTTGCTCTAGTTTCCAGTCTAGGATACTATGTTGAGTCATCATGGTGTTCTTATCTTTGATCTATGGCAGTTTCTTAGTGTTTCCTTTTTAAAATCACATTTACTAATCACTGTGGATGTTAACCTTGACCTTTTTGTTCAAGGTAGTATTTTTCAGGGTTCA